TGTTAGATCATTTCGCATTGATTTCTGCATATTCCTTGGCAATTGCATTTTGTATTCCCATTACCACGAGATGGTTTCAGTCGATTTGAGTTGTCTGCGCTGTTAGAGACTGACTCAGTGCCAGACCTACATGGAGGTCGTCTCATCCATCAGCTTTGTTTATTTGTCTAAATTTGATCTGGAATCGGTGCTCTGCAGTGGATGGATGGATGGATGGATGGATGGATGGACAGAAGAAAGAAAGAGAAAAAGAAAGGGAGTGAGAGATGCAGACAGGAGATAACTACGACAGAGAGAAATGCGATTGAGGGAGATGGACAAAGAGAGTGAGAGATGGATTAGCATGTCAGAGACTCCCTACATAACATTACTCTTGTTAAGTGTGCAATAGCTCATCGATCAGGCTTCTACCGCCCGCATGCAGGGCTCTTCCCTCCATTTCCCTTCCCGTAATCCATAATATCATCTCAGACCAGAACTGCATGGCGTACTGCAGAAGCCCTCTATGGAAGTCTAAGCAAGCACTGATCAATAGCCATTGAGCATGTGTAGCAGATGCAGGATGAGAAGCAAGCTGTTGTTGACATCCTTCTCCCTATGCTCATCCCACTCAAAGAGATGAGCTATACAGTATGGATCGGAAGAGTGAAAACTGGACTGTGCCTGTCACTTCTAAACTCGGTGAATCTCTCCCCTCTGTCTCTTTCTGTCACCATCTCCTCTTGTCTCGTTGTCTGTCTATGACACTGTATCTGTCCTTCCATCTATCTCCCTTTCCTCTTTGTGTCGCTCTCTGCCATGCCTTCCTCTCAGCGCCGGCTCCATTTATTGGGCCGTGTCATTGAGCCATGTGTGCCGTCCCTGTCAGCAAAACGCCTGGCAGACTGTCTTCATTTCCATGCTGAAGGATGCAAGGCCAGCATGGCAGTTGTGAGAGCTATCGACTGGGATCTGTCAAAGCCCTCCCTGTAGGAAAGCTGTTCCCGCCTGCCTTCTAGGTTGGCAGCCATTCTGAGGCTGTCTGCTTGACTCTGACAATGGCGACGTATATGCAGCACTGCTATAGTTTTGTTCTGTGACCCTGCTTGTCCTATCCACCTGTCATGTTTTTCTAGCATCCTTTTATCTCTCTCCAGAATGGCGTCCCTTTCTAACGCCTTCTGTTTCCCTCTGTGCCTTTCTATGTCTCTTATTCTCTCTCACTCCCACTCTTATTCTTTCTCTTCCCCATAAGACACAGCCTCCTCAGTCTGGGCAGACAGGTCAAGCTGGCTGAAGGGAATCAGACAGTTGTTGATCCAATTAGAGATCCCCTCGAGCAGCATCAGAGTAGAGCAGAATTCCAATAAAATACTGTCCTCTTTCTGCCTTTTCCATGTTCTCCCCTAACATGTCCTTGCAGTAAAACACAGTGAGCCTTCCTGAGACTTTTCTGAGACCCGTAGGAACCTTTAGTTAAAGTTGTCATTGAGAAGTCAAGAGCTTGCTTTCACTGAATCTTTTCAGGCTGACATATTTTGGTACAAGTGGCTGAACAGTTCCCTCTGTTTGCCCTCTTTATTGCTTTGGACACTCTGAGAGCAAAGTAAGGCCGGCCCAGTTTGACTCCAAACCCTTCTTAGAGGCCTCTTTTGTAACTGTCTTGATGGTGAAAAGCTGGCTGTTTCACTGAGCAAAACCTTTCACACAGCCCCTCTGCAACTATGGAGCATTCCTGCATTGATTTCACCATTCAGGCCAAACAGATGTACAGTCCAATTCAGAGCACCAAATGAATGTACAACAGGCCGAAATTGACGTGTTATAATACATGTACTGATTTGCATTCATAGATCAAGATGTTTTTCAGCTGGCTTTTCAAGCCATCCGGAGCGCACGAGCGCTCTTTGTCTCTAGATAGAGAAAAAAGCCACTGTGCTCGTCTGCAGCCAAAGAGCTGATTTCGACCAGATGCAGTCCCATAGGAAACAACTGTAACAGCAATAATTGCTTATGAACATAGCGCTAATAAGTGAAAATTTCAACAAGCTTTCATTTAGATTTCTATTGTCGCTGTTATTTACACAAGTGCATTTCCATGCCTCTGCTGGTTCGTTTTGTTGGTCGGTAATGCGTCTATTGATGAGCAGAATGCCATGACTATCTTTTCAGAGCCAAATGCACATTGAGGAGCATGATTGAGCAAAGGCTATGATCGAATGAGGCTGGCAGCACAGGCATCTTATTCTCACTAAACTGCTCCCCTTTCATGTGCGTGCATGAGTGTGGTTGGTGTTGGTGCGCATATTTCAAAGCCCATAATGCATGTGCGCATGTCCGCAGCCACCCCTCGTTAACGTGTTTACCAGTTCCTACAGCAACCCACATAAAAAACAATTAGGGGTTCCCACGGAGCACCTTGTTAGCGGCAGTTGTTGACCTCTGACCAAAACTACTTCGTCTTTTTCCCATGATGTCGAATCATTAAAGGGGCAGTAAATTAGTTCATAGCAAGAAGCCCCTGAAAACACATATTCTGGAGCCAAAGTGAATTAGGCATTACTCGAAGCCTTTACCTTAAAGACGCAGGATCAGCAAGCTGGAACGTAGTCGGTGGCCCAGTTTGTTCTGGGCCGTGCCAGGGATGACGCCGTGTGGCGAGAGGTCTAGAAGGGTTTATAGCCTGGCACTGGCTTTCATTCTGCGTATGTGTCTTTGGCTATTTCTGTGTGTTTTCAAAGGTTATAGCAAAGAGATTTTAAGGGCAGGAGGAGGGTGTGCATTTCAGGGCTACAGAAGGGTGAGTGTGTTCACAGGGAGGGCGGGGTGGTGCGAGGCTGTTGATCTTGGGCTTGAGTCTTAAACAAATGGGCTAGTTCGCTGTGGGAACTGGGGATGTAGTCACCGGGGGAACGTCAGCGTGCTCTATGTCAGATTCTCCAAATTTCTCCAATAGCTAATTATCTCCCACAGCGCCAAAGGAGAGGTTTGAAGGAGCTTTTGTTGTTTTTCTCCTGTAGTGTCTCATGCGCTCTCCCTTCCCTGCTACTTTTTCTTTGGCTGACTGAAAAGTTTGGTGCTGTAGTGGACCCTAAAGGCACAGAAACACAGTAAATTTCTTTTGCTGTCTGAGTTTGTTTTCATGCATTTAGCCCCATAGTATCCCTTTAGCCACATAAATGCAGACACACGTCCGTAAGCCCCACAGCCTTCATCTCATTTGCATCTCAGACATCTCCTGTAACTAACAAAAACACATTTTCAGCAGCAACATTCCTGGCATGAGAGAAAATTAAATGCAAAAGCAAATAATCTGATTACCTCATTAACACCTCGGCCTTTCCTCTTTTTTTTTTATCAATTTATCGCCTGACAAAGTCGCTTGTCACGAGCTCACTAAACTTCAGGTTGTTTCATGGCTGTCACTGCCTTGTCAGTCTAGACAGAAGCGTTTTCTCTCCTGTCTTGTGATGCTGCATTATTATCAGGACCCAAAGCACCTCTAACATCTGGGAGTAGAGATTAAAGCATCAACAATTCTCTCGGTGTCATCTCTGACATGGCGTGATGAAAGGTCCCTTTGCTCAGCCTCCTGCAGACAGCCCCCATCATTGGCCAGTGTCGTCACAAAGCCTCCGTGTCACAAGCTGCCAGGCCTGTAATGTGAATGCGTTGACAGGAGAGCCGTCAGCTCTCTCCTAAGCCACCAGGTGCAGAGCAGCATCGGTTCAGTGTTTGGACAAACTTGTTGGCTCTGTGTGTACTGTACTTTTGCTGAACTGTACAACTGCCCCAGGGTTTGATCCTAGTTTAGGTTCACACTCTAATTCTCTTGGTCAGCCATTGCCCTTATCTCTTTCACCATCTTCTCCTTTTGTTGTTTCATGTTCTTTACGGTTTCTGTACTCCTGTGTTTCTGCTTGTTTATACAACTGTCTCCCTTCCCCTGTTTCATCTCCCCAGTCTGTGTCTTAAGAGATTCCGATCTCTCTGACACTGACTGAAAAGGGGACGGACACTGTGAAGACCCCCAGATCCCCAGCCAAGAGAGCCGCTCATTTCTCATGCTTTTTTCCCCCCCTACTCTTTCTTCTTCTCTCCAGATTGACTGTCTTCAGATTTGCTTTTCCTCTCTGCACTATCTCATCAGGAAAGTCATCTGCCTGAGCCAATTTTTCCCTCTTTAGGTGCTCACCTGCAGCACGAGTGTGGGAAACTGCCCTTTCACAAGTTATCTTTACACAGACTTAGGTTATCGCAACACTTTCATTGACCTTTCATTGGTAATTATGCATACAAAAGGCTTTTGATGCAGATACAGCTTAGATGAGGTCGCTCTTCAGTAGGGCTCTTTTCTTTTTTGTTTTTTAATGTGTATAATGACAGCTGTTTCATTTTCAAGCCATCCTTTATTTCTGCTGATGCCAGCTCTGAAGTTAGAGCATCTGTCAATCCTCTGTAACGCTTTCATCTCGAGGACCCTTAGCCTGCCCCTAGTGTTTGCACCAAGAACAGCACAGTAACGTCTATATCAGCCGTTTCTCAAACCATGCACCCCAGTGAGGTGCTCACGCTGATGGCTGCTGAGTGGAAAAAGACATAAAAATTTCAAATAAAAGAGGAGATGGCTGTTACAGTAAAACACGGAGGGATTATGCGTCAGGAACAGGAACGCCTTCTAGAAATAAGCTTTGGCTGACAGAGCGGTCCTGTGTTACCATCTCAGAGGTATTTACAAGAGCGATTACGGTGATTATTATTTCAACAATACCTTGCGATGCTCTTTCATAGGCTGCCAGCCTTTGCAAGGATAGGGAGGGCCTGCCAACATCACCGGACTGGGAATTTGTGTAGGAGCTCCATAGGAAGGCAGAGCGGAGGGAGGGGGAGGAGAGAGAGAAAGAGATGCAGTGGTAGAAGAAGCGACAAAGGACACAGTTCAAAAGGGCTTCTTTCTTTTTGGAAAGGTCGCACAGTGCACTTCTGCTAACATGATTTTGTCCTTTTCCCTCTCTCTGCAGCTCCCACGGAGCCTTTGCTGTGCAAATTTGCCGACGGAGGGCAGAAGAAACGCCAAAGCCAGAGCAAGTACCCTCAGAATGGAAGGCCGTGGCACAGAGAAGGCGAGGTAAGATGTTACGCCAGTGTTTATTTTTCTCACTCACAACTGGAATAAAAAATGTTCCACAGGGTTTTAGTGTAGCACAATTCATGAAATAGTAAATCACATAAAGATTTCTTCAGCAAATGCATCTCTTAACATCCACCTCCTTTAGGTTTGCTGGTGATTTAAACTATATTTTTATATATATATATATATATATTTTATATATAGATTTTATCTCACTTGGAAGCTAAATTCACAGATAAAATAGCAATAAAATTGAGTAAATGTGCTAAAAACTATATAAGCTGCTACTCAGATGAGTTGACAAAATAACACCGCTCACTTACACTCCACTAACTACTGTAGCACCACATCTTTAGATGACCATCTGAGGTAATGGTATTTCTAAGAAATGGCTCCACCCTGCTCACAAGGGATCAGAAGAAGTTGGCTACAACATCTGGCAGTATGTAAAGTATTACCGCCTGCCATTTGTATTTACTATCATGTATGGAGATGTTTTCAAAAAAAGAAAAGAAAAATAGCCCACATATCGATCAAACTGTCTCCAGATGTATATGTGCTGTCATGTAAATTGCATCTCAAGCCTCACTGAGCACATATATTTCCACCATACAGCAGAATGCTGGGAAACCTGAAACTGGAAACGTTATGGTAACATGTAGAGACGAGGTTAAAATCTTTTCTTAGACTACCAACAGGATATACTGGAAAGGACGAACAGAGGAGACAAGTACGCGACTGCTTTAGACGGGACTATATAGAAGAGAGGGAATGCACACACACATGCAGCTGCACATGCTCAGTCTGACAATTGTGCTGAAACTGCAAGTTACAGGAGACGAGGAAAGATGGAATGTTTGTCCTTCAAGAAAAACTCTCCATACGTCTTAGTGCGTGCTGCAGACGCAGTTTGTGAGTATATGTGAAGAAGTAGGTGGAGGATACAGTTTCATCTCTCATCCAAGTGATCTCTTCAGCTCAGATTCATGATTGTCAGAAGATTGCCTCCTCCTCTTTTTAGCGATGGTTGCTCCCTTTCCACATTCAAATGGCCTCCTTTACTCCCCGCTCAAACCAGGAGCCATACCTGCCCAGGATGTGTGCACATCCTCATCATTGAAGGAATAGCCACTGGCCTGTAGGTGGATGAGGTAGCTCTTCTGTGTTTTGCCATGACTACATCTTTCACTGTGTTACAAAGCTTGAATTGCAGCCATTCCCCAACTGTCTGCGAACAATTATCATGGCCATCGACCAATGGTCATGACAACAATCATGAAACTGAGCTCATGGCTCACTCTTAGTCAATGGTGCTACTTTTGGTGGTTATGCAACTGAACTGTTTATAAGGTTGAGGAAAGCTGCAGTCAGCTGAGAATGAAGAAGTCGGTTGGACGAGTGAGGACACATTCCTCCCACTGAAAACACTTCGTCCAGATGAAAAGAATCAACTTTCCGGGATTTCCTTCACTGAATTATTGAGCATGCATCAAGACGTAGGTGGAGTATTCCCTACACAGGCTCTGTGTGTGCGTGTGTGTGTGTTTGTGTCTGTCCATCACATGTTCAGCAGACCTAACACCTATAAACCAATGAAGCGTGTTTCACCTAAATCACATTGCTACATCCCCTCAGGCCCACACATTGACAGGTTGGCAGGGTCAGCTCGGTTGACTTAAGGTAAAGTGAGACGACTGTGTATGTGGGAGTGATCAGATGCTTCCTTTTAAAGGAGACGGATGCAGCCTAAATAGACACAAACATTTATTCATTTTGCCATAATGCATTCTTTGCATTGCATACAGTGCACACACTTGACCTTCGACGTGATATATTAGCCTGTAAAATATGTTTACTAATTCGCTTCACCAGGTCCTTGGATTTCTCTGTGATTATTATTGTGCCTTAATTGCTACACTTTTAAAATTACAGCACTAAAAATGAACATTTTGGACAAATATGTTTGCTAATTACTGTAAGGTTTTTAGCAGATTGGATTTTCAGCGTATCTCAGGGCTTTTTAAACAAGAGACTTGAGGGAAAAAGGAAAAACTAGAGACTCAGAGTTTCTTAAGAATTCTGAGTTCAGCCAGAGGCTGAGCTAAAAGCTCATAAGAAGAATATTTACTTAGTTTTCTGTCCTTCAGATTCAATTCAAAAAAGATGCTGTAAGTGTCTCAGCATGAAACTTTCACTATTGTCGTCCCGTACCTTCCTTTGCATCATAACCCTCTCCTCCCCTCCGCAATCCACAAAAAGTGAGGTATAAATGTGGGTTTAGGGAGACTTGAGCTTCGGTTTACTTTAGTTTTTATTGTTTTAAAGCTGCTCGTCAAATTTATGTGTTTGAACATAATTTCACTCCAACAGATTTCCCAGAACCCTGTACCAAGAAAATAAGTTCTGCAGATTTACACCCACTGCATGCATCCAGTATTAAAGCCTCTTGAGAAAAAAATAATTGGATTTTGTATTGATTCATCTCCAGTTTTTTTGTGAACTGCATTTTTCCGTGTACATTCTGTGGCATTTAAAGGCACCTTTGTGCTTTATTTCGTTTTCTGTCAAACTTTAAGTTTGGAAATTGTAGAAATGCCACCCTGTTTCATCAGTTCTGAAAAAGACTTGAGAAATGAGAGCAAATTAAAAAATATATCTTCTTGTATTGTCTTAAATGATTGCGTAATTAGTTTTTCTATTTTAAGCTCAGACCAGCTAAAAAAGTATTTGAGAATGAGGTGGTTTAATATGAAAACGACTGTTTGGTATGTAAAGACGACATCATATAGAGGTTAAACAACAGCAACATGATGCAGACTGCTGACCTAACATTCGCTTTGATATATTATGCTGATGTTGAGAGCTAATAATAGACCTTTGTGCTTACATCTGGTAAGAATAGGCACCTATCTAATCTTGACTTTGCTATACAGTGTTGCTTACAAATTTGGGAGACAGACTTATCATCATTCATGGCAGGTCTTAGGTCAAGGAAAGGTATACTGCTGTATGGGCTTTGTTTCCCATCTGTGTCTTTGCTGAGCTCCTTTGGGATGCCAGTAACAGCCAGAGTTAGGTGACCTTACAGTTTTCTTAAGAAAATCTGTTCTTCTCTACAGACTGCATTTACACGTGAGTCACATCCTGTCCAATGTTTGGGTGATTACTCAAAACATTATACGGTGCTCGTTACTTTTCTTAAAAATAATGCTGTTTGTTACTTGATTATTTCCGAGAGAAAGTCATTAGTTATACTACTTGTAACGTTACTTTCTTATTACTTCACAGCGTTACCCAAAATGTACTGTCACATAGTTACAAGTTGTTTTTAAACCTTAGGCTAGAGTTCCACATGCAGATGAAAATCCCTGTATTATTGAGGGCACACATGTGATCTTCCTTTTAGTGTTCACATATGAACGTAAAGCAAAGTTGAAAACCACCCTAAAGGGACTTCAAAGCAATTGCCACATTGATTTTTCTTTAGAAACATATACAGGTAGAAATGGAGGCTACAGTGCTACATGCTTGACTGCCTTTGTTACCAGTTGAAGTTCAGGCTCTGGCTGCTGGACTGGAGTCTGCAAACACTCAGCTTTAACATCACTCTGGGCTCTTTGCTAGTTTTTTGTTAGCACGCTGTCTGTGCAGATGTTTGCAAAGAGCCTGTGTTGTGTTAGCTGTATAATGCAGTTGTTTCGGTTGTTAGTGAAGTCTGCACTCTACCACCGTGCTCTTGTCTTTTCCTGTAGTATTTCCAGTCCTCAAAAGTTGTACATCCCTCCACCGTTTTCTTCCTCCCTGCACCCAAACCGAAATCAACTGAAGGAAAAGAAACAGTTTTGATAGAAGAAATTTGTAATGAACCTTTGTTTAGTACAGTAATCCTGGTAAATGACTGCATTACTGAAGAACTGTAATGCGATTACAGTAATGCATTACTTTGGAAAGCATTACAGCCAACATTGATCACAATGCAACTCAGATCACCTGCAGATAAAGTCTGGTTGATCTAAAACTGTGATACTGCAGTGCATTCTGCGTACATTTACACTTAGAATAAAGTGGACGGCCCTTAGAAGCATGTGTGTGCCTCTGTGTGGTCATTGATCAGCTGTGGGCAGGGGAGATGGGAGATGGCCATCACATGTTAGTCTGTTTATCAGAACTGAGGCCATTCCTCACTCCGCTCCCTGTGGCAGACAGATGAAGCGAAGCAACAGCCTACGCCATCCATTACTGTCTCTTCCGACATGTCTCTCTACCTTCTCCTTCTACAGTATAGATCTCACTCTACCGACATCTTTAGCTTTCCATCACTCTTCCCCCTTTTCCTCCACCCATATTTAAACACTCCCTCCTCACAGCTTCTTTCTCTTCCATTTTGTCTACTGTCTCCTCTTCCCGTGTTTGAAGTCTTCCCAGATCCCACAGCAACATATGGAGAGAGAAAGAGCAAGTGACTCACTGAGACTAAGAGAGAGGGAACACATTGCATGATCAGTCAGGAGTTACAAGGGGTTGAGTGCTGCAGGGTGGCTGGTGGTGAGGATTGAGAAATATATGACAGATTTTCTTGTAAACTACCCAAAGTGGGAGTCAAGAAAGTGCTGTCTCTCGCTGTCTCATGCTGACAAACATATTAGTCACTGCATTTTTTTCTTCCACCACACATTCACGCGCCTAGCGCCATGGGTGCTCATTCTTCTCTCTCTGTCTCTCTCTCTTCACATCCTAACTCTTTTACACCAACACACACTCCTACACAGACACACACACACAAAAACTTTCAAAGTCACACTTCTCAAGCACCTACTCTAGGGGAATGAGTGTGGATGAAAAAAAAAACATCCGGCTTTCCAGTCTGTGTGAAAGCCTGACAGATGTCCCTGTGTGTGTTTGTGTGTGTAGCCACAAGGCAGAAGAAGCAAATGTGTGTATAGCAGGCAAAAAATTAAGGGAGGGAGCGGGTCAGCGTGTGTGTGCGTGTGTGAGGACACAGAGACGATGACTCGACTTGGTTTTCCTGTGGTTTTTGGAACAGGTTGGCGGGTCATCCTTGGGGCACGGAGTGGGGATGTGGAGCTGTTTTCATGAACACCAAAAAACGTTGGGAGAATCGAGTCGAAGCTGCCCTTACTCCTATGCAGTACACGGCAAGAGATTTATCAGATGAGCTGGGTCCTAATTACTAGAAATATTCAGCTCGGTTTAGGCGAATGAGCTGCCTGAGGTTGCATGCAGAAGGAAGTTCACATGGTCTCACACTTTTATCTGCACTGCTCCATATCCATGCTCTTGGACAGATTTTGTACTAGAAAGCTGGCAGGGTAAAGACTGGCTAATGTATGCCAAACATTTTCATTCTTTTATGCCGGGTAATGTCTAGAAAGCCTCAGGGTTGTGGTGCATGTTTGAAAACGGCTTTCAAAATATGATTTAAGCACAAGAAAATAAACACAACTAGTTGATGCTATTGAGCTGTCTTTTATTAGACTAAAATTTAACTTAGATCATGTTTTTTCAGCTGCTCCTCCTTCTTGTTGTTGTTGAGAGTTAAAAAGTTGTGAACTTTTTCAGCTTATGAAGGGCGCCCAGATGTCAGAATAATTATGAAAACCACTTCTGTAACAGGAAAGAACAGGTGACGTCTTTCAAACCGCTAGTGTGGGCTGTCCTCACATTTTTGACTCTGTTAAACACAATTTTGCATACATGCATTTTCATACATAATATGCTTAAAAAAAAGCTGCTTTATTGCCATGATAAAATGCATTCACATTTTCACTGAGACTACATTAGTATAATTCATTTTGTAAACCCTAGAGCACAGTTGAAATGATATTAATGCAAAATAATTCTTCACAACTCGCTAAACTTGATAACTTGAATTAATGATTGACTACAAAAAGAAACAACTGAGTCATACTCTATGGCTTTTTCATGAGTTTGGAGCCATCTGTCTCTGTGCTACATTTTGGGATTTTACTGTGGGTACAGTAGGGCATATTTATCGTTTTACATTTACATAGAGGGGAGAACATATTCTAGTGGAAAATACACGATACAGTAAGTCTTATTTACTGCATAAGCATGAAAAATTCACATAAACGGCCACTCGGTCTTCGAAAGTCAGGTCTGTTCATGGGAGCTTCTATCGGGGCCAAGCTTTGTTCACGGGGTCTGTACAACATTAAAGTCAAGTTTTTTTCTGCAGTCTTGGATCAAGCTAAGACGGATACACAGTCTGTCTGTGTCTTTTCCTTTCCTCTCATTTTGACGGAGCCAAAAGCTAACTGCATCAGTAATCAGTCACTGGCTATGCAGGGTCCTCCGGTCAGGAGCTTCTCTGCTGTGGAATTCATCAACACGCGGAACCAAGGGCAGCACTTAGGGGAGTTATCAGCCTCACCGAGACAGCTGGCCATGTCTGCCGCTGCTATTAGCGAGCATGGGAACACACAGTCGTGCACGCAAACATGCTGACAGGCGTGCAATGCAACTCTCTTGATCTTGGATTTTATGTAAAGGGAGAGTATAAATACATGCACAGACCTTTGCATGTATGGATTTACAGAAAGAGATGCTCACAGATGCAAAAAACAAATTTAAAGTAGAAAATAATTACAAAGCACATGGACTGAGTGGCTGCATTCGGCCTTTACAGCTTGGTATAAAACGTCTCTGAAAGCCTTTTACAACCAGTTGTGCAAATACACAAAATTAGACACAAAGGTCCATCCATGCCTGGATCCCTACACATCCCTAGTTTAAGCAAGGACATTGTCATTTGGTGGAGAGTCTGTGTTTTTGCTCACTCTCGAGGGCTCGGTCCAGGCTCACTGATCCCCTTGGACCTCTGAGCCACTATTCCCTTAACTGTATAGCTCAGTGTAGGTAGCCCTCTGGGGGAACAAGGGCAAAAGACTTACAGGAAGATGGGAGGGGTAGATTAAGAGATGAGGGGAGTGAGGAACGGAGAGAGAGAAAGGAGAACACAAGATGTTGAAGAAGAAAAGGAGTGGGAGGGAGGGCAAAGTGAGGGAAAGGAAGGGCAAAAAATGAGTGTGTGTGGGTAAATGTGTAGCGTGTGCATGTGTGTATGCTGATGAAATCTGCCATCCTCAGCAGCCTCCCGTTAAAAGAAATCGGATTAGCTCTCCTCGGGGAGAGAACCTTCAGGAATGCAGATGAAGGATTGCGGCACACAGGTTTCTCTCCTGGACTCTAAAAAAGGGCCTCACACAATCACACGCACACACACACTCATGGATAGGTTTGCTGTCACCTAGACACATGTACACACACCATCACAACAAGGAACTCAGTTTTCCACTCATTCTCTTTTCTCTCCAAAGGCCATTTCTTTATTTCCTCTCATTCATAAAAACACGATGATACGTGGTTGAAATAGAAAAGCGCGTCTTCGATACTAATTCACTTTGTCATATTGACTAAGCTTTCCCTCACATTGGCTTTGTCACTTGTCAGTTTTTCCACTTTGAAATGAGATGATTTAGATTTGATTTCATTTGTTTTGGACAAAAACAATCAGGATCTTAATCAAGTTATTCTTCAAGTACAATAAATGTACAGCAAATTTTCTTGGTCACAATAGTGCAGGAATATATCAACAGCATTGCCTTTGATGTACAGGTGACATACAAGGAGCCCGTGCGGTTTCCCCGTACACTGTACGTACACTGTGATTTAGAGGTAGCAGAAGTGCTTAAATGTACAGAAAATTAGTCTGTGACCTTCTTGAATACTTAGCTGGACAAAGACATGATTTATATAGTTTTGCCTCTGTGCATCACCACAGTGAACGTAAAATCAAACAATTATAACGCAATTGAAGGGCAAACATTCAACTTTACATCAAAGAATTTCACAAAAATTTTGCATGGACTGTTTAGGAATTACAGCATGACAAATGTATGCTTTAAATTCTGTGGTTTCTCTCCTTGTCTGTATTTTTCCATATTGGTTTCATCTGTCCAAAGAATTTTTCCACAACTGTGCAGCCTCTTTTAGATGTTTTTTTGGCAAAACCTAATCTGGCCTTCCTGTTCTTGAGCGTAATCAGTGGCTTGTTGTAAACTCTCTGCATTTACATTTGTGTTGATTGTAGACCTTGACAAAAAATACACCTATCACCTTGAGTGTTCTTGACTTGGTTAGATGTTTGATGTTGTTTTTCCCCAGCCATGGAAGTGCCTCTGTCATCATACACTTTGTTGTGTGGTCTTTCAGACCTTTTGCTCTGGCCAAGTGCGTTCCTTCTTTTTAAGAATGTACCAGACTGTTGATTGGCCACTCCTAATGTTTCTGCTGTCTGTCTGATAGATTCATTGTAGTTTTTGATTATGAGGATGGCCTCGCTCAACTTCAAATATTCTGTCTGCTTCATTTGTTATTGAATAATAACAGAGTAAGTTGAAAACTGCGTTTATGCAACAACTTTGTAAAACCCCTTGAATTAAAGTTCAAAGTCTGCACTTAAGTCCTATACAATTAAATAATTGTGGTGGTCTAAAAAGTGAAAACTACAAAAAATATATTTTTGTCCAACAAATTATGGCTCTAACTGTATTTCACAGAAGTACGTTCGATCAGCAAAACCATCGGTGTCCGACTTACGACAACATATAAACATATAAATAAGAGACACTTTAAAAGGGTTACATGCAGCTTGAAATCTTGTCACTAAATTCATGGAAGAACATCTTTTGTAAAAAAAAAAGGAGAAGACATTGATCAGACTGTGTTCCAGCCACAATCTTCTCTTTGGCTTTGTTTAGGTCATTATTGAAAAGTAGCCTTAAAACAAAAGTGATGACCACTTCTTTCTGTGGGTTTTGCTGCTTCGCTGCAAATCGCCATTCCTCATTTTTGTCTGTCAGTAAATATCAGAAACTGGCTTCTCACTTAGAGTGAGAGTGATTGCTTTTGTTGCCTTCTCCTTTTTACTACAGCAGATGACACTACATTGTCACAATGAAAAAACTGATATAAAAGGTGGTAATGTAGGACAAGTTGTCACATTTTCTTTTGCTTCAGCATTTTAATATTACTTCCCATACTGTATGTATCTTGATAGGCCGTATAATTTGTTGTTGTTCTTTCTCTTTCAGACTGGCATGGCGTTAACATATGATCCTGCTGCAATGCAGAATGGGTAAGACTTGATCTATCCTTGGCACCAGCTAATACACTCGCCTCCTGGCTCATAGAACCCCAGTCGATACTACTGTCATACACAAAGATTAATGTAGTGTCTGCACTTTGTTACTGTTTGATTAAGGAAATCTATATGGAGTTCAGATATCGGTTTTCACTGGTGAGGTCGGGTGAGAAATGGCGAAGGGGCACTGAGTGAGAGTGAGTGTGTGTGTGTGTGTATATGTGTGTCTTTGGGTACTCAGATATGTGTGTTTTTGTGTCTTCATGTCATGGTGCTGTGGAAATAAATGACCCGGCGTCATGTTTTATTTTTCCCCACGGTGCTGAGACAGGAAGGAGAATGCTGAGGCTCCCCTTTATCTCCCTCTGTCCTCAGTCATTCACAGGAAGCGCCTCACTCCCACTTCCTAAACCACTTATCCTCCAGTGAGTTAGTCTCAACCAAAACACAACACTGGATGAATAGCATCACTCATTACATACGCCCTGCAATGTAAAGCCTACTTCAGTATAAATCCCTCAACTTATGATCCCAAAGATACAAAAACTGCGAGAGAAAGAGAAATATGTGTCGCTCTCAGCACCTTGAACCAGATTTTTGCGGGCGATAAAAACAATATACATAAATAATCATTCTCTAGAAAAGAAGAAAAATAAAAACGTAAAACGAGTCAAATGTTAAATAAAGAAAACTTAACGTAACGTAATGCATAGTTTAAAAAAATGCTACTTTACATTTCTTACAGGTACATAAAGAGTTCAAATTCAAATTGATGAATTTAGTACTGTATATAATTATAATGCAAATTACCCATAATTAATGCATATATATGTTATTGAGGGACTTAATTTACATGTCCTCCTCAGTGTTAATATTTGCATAAAATGTAACTGTATACTTTCAGAAACCAAAAGCAAAAAGACGTTTAGAAAAACTGAAACACTGCACACGATCCCAGCGTTGGGTAAAAACTAATGTAGCTCCTTCCTTTGTCATAAACTGACCTTTTATATTTAATCAAGCTGCCAAAGTTTCCAAACTACTAAGCAAACTACACAACATCACTTTTGTGTGTCATTCACATTCATTGAAATCATTTTACATTTTGCACAATCTGACATAGATAATAAAACAATGAAAACTCTGTTTTTGAGCTGCTGGTGTTTGACTCACATTTTCACAACACCAGACCGTTAAAGTCAAACTGTAATGTCGTCGGCGTTGATGATGTATGTAGCGATTTCAAGGCTCGTTACAGAATTAGTGTTGGCCTGTCCTTGGCCAGTATTATGATTTTCACTAATTGTTGCTGAGACTGTTGGACATCCCGCTTAACCTCCCAGGGGATCTCGGTGAGATTCAGCACCTTTAGATGTTCAGCATTAAAATAAAGTCTTTCAATTACACAAAGAAGGTCTCCAAGAACACAGAAAAAGATTTCCTTGACTATATCCCAGTGTTGAGTGCACTCAGCCAGACTTGGTCCACGCATCGGTAATCCGTTGCAGATATGGCCGTCCATCAGCTATCCAGCGTATTATTATTGCTCTATTAAGTAAATTCCAGTATGAGAACTAAGCCAAATATTCAGAAGTTGAAACTGAAGTTTAAGCAAGCAGACCAAAAGAAACCACACCACGAGAAGAGTGACACATCAAGCTTGCCTCACTGAGAAATAGAAAAGCAACACAGACGGCTGTTTAATAGCAGTTTGAAGAGGATGAAGAGGGAAACAAGGCCAAGTTGTGAATGAGCATACACCATATATCTTACCATGGAGAATGGACAAGCTCATTTTACTGATGGATTCATTTTTATGTAAGGCAGTAGGAGAATATTCCTTGCATCAGACATAAAGTCAACAATGCAGTGGACGTAATCGAGTCAGAGGATGTTTGTCTGCTCCAGAGTTGGACGCCTATACTAAACGAACCACACCCCGTCCACTTAGAAGCTGCAGTCCTTTCTGTAGACATATGCACACCCTCTGGTTTCCAGCTGTGTGGAGAAGGGTAATGACTCCCAGCACACCTCGAAGCTTTGAAGAAATTACTTTTTAGGCCAATCAAGCAGTACTGACTGTCATGGACTTCCCTCTATAGCCACCTGACCTCCTGAGCATTAAGTCTAAGCGCAACTGAATTTAGGTTCCTGTTTGCGCAGCCTTGAGGAGTCCCTGCTGCTCACTTACAGGTGTCATTAATGCAAGATTTGAGGCATACCAAATATTCTGTATTACTCAATAGTCTTGTACATTTTTCAGATGTTTCTATTAAAGTCGTTTAATAGCCTCGTAACATGGAACCACCCAATGCAAATAAACTAGGTATTCTCTCCACTGTTAGTTACTCAAATTTATTCCTCTGTTCCTTTTTCCTTTCGGCTCAGGTTCTACTCCTCGCCTTACAGCATCGCCACCAACCGCATGATCGCACAGACCTCCATCACGCCCTTCATCGCTGCTTCCCCCGTTTCCACATATCAGGTGGGCCATAATGCACTGGATTATATGGGTAGATTCTGTGTGTATGTATATGAGAGTATACTTTGTGTATTTTGTGCACTTTGGGTTGGAAAAGAGGGGGTGGGCTTCAAAACAGCATGAGGCTCTCGCTTCTTCCCTCATTGTTTCTTCGATGCTCCAGCTGTGCTTGATGACATCTGTTTCGTAGGCAGCAAACACGCCAGGGATCAGAACAGAAGCGGCAAAGAAAAAGGGGGATTTTAAAAAGGCTGACAAGGTAGAAAAAAAGAAACACACCCATCAAGAATGAAAGTATCTAGGAAAAAGAAACAGTTTCCTCTCTCCTGTAGTCCAAACCTCGTTTGTTCCCTCTCTCGATCTCTTTTTATTTTATTTTCCTAGCTTCAGCACCAGGCCTTCCACTTCCAGAGCGAACGTTTGCATTCCTCACTGCTGCGATCAGTGGAGTAATGCAACAGAACAGAGCGGGATCGTAAAAATTGGCCCTGTGATATGTCAGGAGCGCTAACTATTTTCCGTCACTGCGCATTTCATGCAACACCCTTTGCCGAATCTAAACATCAAGAGACGCTGCCACTGTGCCCTCTCGATCACGACACTATCGTTTAACATCGCCTCTGTTTGGTATGCAGAGACAGAAAGACGAGGATAGAGAGCAGGAGAAAGGAGATGAAGGATAGATAAGAAAATAGAAGAGACAGATGGAGAGAGAGAGAGAGAAAGAGTAGGTTTAGGTGATGGCAATGGCACGGCTGGGTGGGCAGAGGAGGGGTGTTGCTGAAGGTTGCGGCGCCCGTCTTTGAGGCACGCTTGATTAAAACTCTGGTCCAGTACCTGTGGTGGAGGGGCAGAGGAGAGAGAAGGAGGGAGAAAAGTGGGCCAGGGCGCGCCTCTAATCCGCTCTCGGAAGGCTTCCCAAATTGATTTATCAAAAACAATGGCCAGGCTTTTGAGGAATATTAATCCTCACAGTTTCAATATCGGGCAGCTCTGCCGCCGCTTCCTGTAATATTGCCCTTCAGCCAGTCACGGCAGGAAGGTGAGTCCTTCATCTTCTGCTCAAGTACAAAGAGGCACGGGGAAAAAAGAAGGAGAAGACAAGCCAGGCAGATATATATGCAAGACAAAAGGAAATCACTTCCTTTTATGATGAAAAGTATTGCCTTTGTAATGAAAATCTCACGGTGCGCAGAAATGACTGTATGTGTCATTCCTCCTTTTATGTTTGTGTCGCGTTGATATTTTGGAGCTTTTGATAGAATTGATTGATCAGATCTGCAAATGACCCATACCAACAGCGGTATTCTGGCGTTCTTTATGCTTGGCTCCTCAATAACGATTGGATTCATTTGCTGGAAAAAACAACTTTGATGATCCGCATGACAGGAGACGGTCCAGGCCAGATCGCTACCAAGATTTCAACGAGTACCGCCAGCCAGCCGTGAGCCTGGTTTACATCACCGCTTATACAGACTGGCTCACTGGCTGACTAAATATGTGGCTGGCTGATAGGACATGGGGCTGGCAGCCTTACTAACTAGCTAACTGGCTGGCTGTTTGGGTTTACGTGTGACTGGTTGGAACGAGGGCCAGCTGGCTGACCACGCAGCTCGACAACTGACTTACCGGCTTTTTGGCCTGTTGGCTGACAGGCTCTTTTAAATTATAATATAAGCTGTGAAGTTCAGCCAGAGGTAGGGAGCTTCTTAGGTTGTGCACATTTTACCCTTCACTCACAGTGAAACTAATGTTCATGTAGAATTACTCTACCTGCTGTAATTCTGAGCAACTCTGTAAAAGCTGTAATTTGGTGCTTTGGGGAAAAGCCAGCTCAGGTCGAGTCAGTTAACTCTAATCTTCAAAAGCAGTCATTTGGATCTCTTTATATTTTGTGTTACACTTAGCAACTTAGCACGTTTTCCCTCACGTTCTTTCCTGCCTGATAACAGATCAGTCTCTGGCTTTCTGGTTTATTTTTATCTGGGAGATGTCTGGGAGTGAAGTCCTGCTGAAATTGTTAATGCTGTAACTCATCAGCCCTTTTGCTGTTTTTAACATCCCACAGATAAACACATTTGTCATATTTCTGCTGTTAACTTGGACTAAACTACAGTCTTTTCACGAACCTAAGATGGTAGTGTTTGGTTGCAAAAGTAAAAAAATGAGTGAACACAACTGTCTCACAGCTGGCAAACTGGAACTTATCTCTCAGCATCCAAACAAAGCCAGAGGACACATTATCAGTGCATTACAACATTTTCAGCTCTCAGGAAACAGATTACAACATTGCTGTACATTGCACTGTTTGAGAGGTGCTTTTATCCCGTCTTCCTTCTCTCACCCCGACCGGTCGTAGCAGATTGCCCCGCCCCTCTCTGCGCCTGGTTCTGCCGGAGGTTTCTTCCTGTTAAAAGGGAGTTTTTCCTTCCCACTGTCGCCAAAGTGCTTGCTCATAGGGGGTCATATGATATGTATTACTGCAGGGTCTACCTACAATATAAAGTGCCTTGAGGCAACTGTTATTGTGATTTGGCGCTGTATAAATAAAACTGAATTGAATTGAGATTAATCTAATAATATAAGAATTAGTGCACCGGCCTGAATCTGTTCAACACCTGAGGAGGCTGTAAAGATCTCACGTAAGAGCTTTGAACAAAATTGAAAAGGAAGCTGAGATTATGAAGTAAATATGTTGGAGGTCTCTTTGTCTGTTTCTTTTCAGTGGATTGGACTAGCATCCCATTGTGTTCACTGTGTTCTTATCGGTTCAGGTTTGGACTTTTTCATCTTTGGTTGCTTCAGATAAATTGTGAGTGAGCCTCCCTCACGTTAGTATGTAAGACTGCCATTTTTTATTTACCCAGCAAAGATTTCACCATGATTCTCTCACGATTTTTTTCCTTAAGCCCAGTGTAAAGCCATCCTTTCTTGTTGCAATAATCACATGACGGTCATGCAATATCTTAGTTAGAAAATGCCGAAGACAAGTGATTAAATATAAGCTTTCTCTGTGTCTATCTGCTGTCCCATTCAGCTGGGGAGAACAAATATTGCCGTGTATAAACAAGCAGACTTGGCACCGCGTTATAGAATATCAGGCTTGTTTAGGTATGGATCCAAATCACGCATTTGGGTTGGCTCAGAGGATTGATTGCTCTTACAGCAGATTATTCCATGTTTGTCTTTGTTTAATCTAATCATTTTACCAGGATCAGTGGCCAGTCTGTGTGTTTGTCTGCTACAAGCTGTCTAATTCCTCTCTCCAGCATAAAAGCTCTGTTTGTTCATCGTCCATTCCTCCGGTTTCTTTATAGTTTCCACTGTCACTGTTTCTCCATCTCTTTAACTTTTGAATCTACATTTGTAAATATGCATATCTGTCAATTTTTTTTTCCTCTTGTTGTAGCATTGAAGTTTGTTCTGTTTTATGCTGAGAATAAAACAAAAATGCTTTTTGTATTTTGTGAGTCTTCTCTAGAGGTCTGTCCTTGAACTTTCACCCTTGCTCCAACAGCACTGGGCAGAGCCTTAATATTGTTATAATACAGAAAAAGACTCATTTTACGGGTTCAACGCACAACGTACTGCCAGCAATAATGAGAAGGCAGGAGGGAGATGTGCTGCCTCCAGACTTTCAGATTGTTCTAGTAATTCTTTGGCACAAATTAATCTGTGTAAAGTTCAGCCATTTTGGTGCATTGAAACCAGCACAATCATTTTAAGACTTACAGACTGAAGAGTATTTGAACATATTGGGACTATTTGAATAGCATTTATTGTATTATGTGGGATACGTTTCAGCTCTTACTAAGACAAAGGAAAATTTTATATTGCCACCATCATTTTACATTTTCTGTATTTCTCCTCAGGTCCAGAGTACGTGGATGCCTCATCAACAATATGTTATGCAACCTACAGTAAGTACTCCACCGTGTACCTGAAGTACTGCAGCTGCCCTTGAGTCAGGGCCCCCGCTGGGGATCCACCCTTTAGTTGAAAATCTGTGATGCGCATCCAGTCTGATCTGCTGTTAATCGAAACTTTTTAAAGATTCGTTTTTTTTAAATTTATCCTGAAAATAGTTACGACATGGAGACATTTTTATATTTAGCACAATGTGACTGACCAGAAAAAGTTTCTGTTTGGAAAAACGTTTAAGCCACATTATTCTTCCGTTGCAGACTAAATGTTAAAGCAACTCAATTTCTAACATGCACTTGGCCACTATTACTTCTGGCCAAATGATTACACCATTTCGGTCCTGGAGTTACTATATGAAGCACTTTATCCAATTCTGATAACCACATTTTTCCATCTCTCCTAAGTATACAAACACATTTTGTTTTATTTTTGGGAGGCTTTGTGGAGTTTATATGTTTTTGGTAGTGCCAGGAAGCAATTCAGAGTCATTTACCAGACCACAGCACAAGACAGACTGCTGCTTGAGGTTACCATCCCAGACAGCAGACAAGGGGGAAAAAAGCTAATATTAATTAGACTTAGCTCACGAGCAACACGGTCTTTAACGGTGAGGTAATCACATTGCCTTCAGTCACATTCAGTTCTGTTTTGAAGAGAGACAACAGAGAAGCTCCAGAAGGTTTGTACTGGTCACTAAAATTCACATTTTAACATTTCAGTAACTGGCAAAGTCCTACTTCCTAAATATTAGTAAAAACTAAACCTTCTTGGATGTTATTCTTTAAATGAAAGTAAATTACATTTTCACAGAGAAGTACAGTGCAAAAGTTCCCTCTCATTTCTTTGTATAGAATTTCTTCTCATTTTTAAAGTGGCATTTAACAATAGTTCTTCGAGCTTCATGGGGGTCTTCCAAAGTTTTTCTTTGGACATCGGCTGCTTTTTCACTCATTTTCAATCCAGTCCTTGTTCCTGACCATTTTCAGATAAATGTTTTCTCTGTTAAGTTACTTGACATTGACCTGGGAATCATTCAATCTTAAAAAGGAACCTAACTCAAGAAATGAACTGGTGGTGCGTCTACACACAACAAAAACCTTAGCAGAGAACCACTTTATAAACAGTACCTTCAGGGACTTTGTTACTAGCAGCCATAATTTGTTCCCATTTCTTCAAATTCATGAAAAACGGCAACAATAAAAGTTTGACAGGCATAGAACGAGCGATTAGCCAAAAACCTGGCACAACTGAAAGCCATGCTCTTAACAAACAGGAAAGAATTGTGAGGTGCATCTGGCCCTTCAGTTGATCCAGTTGATCTACTGTTTACTAAAGCCTTATCAAGTAGACGGATGGCTGTCAACAAGCCATTCTTAAGGAAGACAAACAGAGAGGAAAGCCTGAGGTATGCTAAATTACACAAGAACTAGACTAAAAATGGCACCAAGTCTTGTGGAGTAATAAATCCAAATTTCAAATCATCATATATATATATATATAGTCTCTTACAGCCATCATGGTTCGGGGTTATATTTCAGCCAGTGGTGTTAACGATCTTATCAAAATTGATGAAATTATAAACAGAGAAGAGCACCATCAGATTTTGATCTACCATGCAATACCATCTGGAAAGTGTCTGATTGGCAAGAGCTTCATTTTCATGACAATGATCCCAAACACAGTGACAATACAGCAAAAGCATACCTGAATAGAAAAACACACAATGGGTTGCCATCAGTCATGGATTGGCCTCCCCTGAGCCCAGAGCTCAACATTTTTGAAGCAGTGTGGGATCGTCTTTACAGTGAACAGAAGGCAGCCAACATCCAAAGAAGAGTTTTGAATGCCCTTCAAAAAGCCTGGAGAACTATTCCTGAAGAAATGACAAGAAAACTTGAGCAAGAGAGTTCAGGCTGTCGTGAAGAATAAAGGTGGTCATACCAAATATTGATTTTCAAGCTCGTTAGAGTTTTACAATCTGTATTTGCAGAGTTATATACTGTATTTTCTTGTATTTTTAAGCGTTTCAATAAATCGCTGCACATATTTTCAAGCAGGAGAGGTGGCTCAAGGCTTTTTCACATTTCCTGAAATACCCCCGCTTGCACATCCAGTTTTATTTTCCTATCGCTGAAGCCTCACCCGCACTCTTGCTTGAAAATACTTTTCCTTCTCTGTTGTTATAACAACAAAGCACATTAGTGGTTTACCAAATTGTTTTAAGGTTGAGTTTTTAATTGATCCAAGCTCTATAAGCGTTCTCATTTTGTTTCTTAGAGATTTTAAATCATTCTGCCAGAGATTTTTAGTGTTTGCTTGAGGCTTGTTGTGGCCCCTGAAGCATATTCAATCTACTTCATTGCTCTCAGTTTGTTCACAGAAAAAGACTGGTTACCAGTCAAGGGCAAATATAACTGATTCTTTACCACTATTTTAAAAAAAAGCTTCACTTTTTGAAAATCTCAATACTTCTTTAATACAGTGGGTACTTAGTTCTATTAGCCTGGAAAAGGGAGTGCAGTGAAGATTTTTTCTTCTACATAAAGCACATTTTTAGGACTCTGCGTCACAGTATGGTTCATAATATGCATGTAAATTCTGCACTGTGGTTCTAATTTTATTGATACAATAAGTTATTTTGTCTTTGGAAAAGAAATTACCAGCCTCAGGATAACTTGTGTTAGTTTTTGCTGAAGTTACCTCTAATGAATCTCACAGCCGCATAATTTAAGTCATGCTTTGATATCGAGGTTCACTATTCTGTACTAATGAGCAAATGAATATGCATATGGGTGAATAGGTAGCACCTTACAGTTTGGATCTACAACCCGGGGTTATAGAGTTCTATGCTGCAACAAATATTTTATACACTGGGTAGATACCAGCCCAAAAGTGTTATAATAATAGGGAGAAAACTAGTAAGAACACACAGTTCCGGCGTAATTAGTCATTATTTTTTTGTGTAGACTGTTAGATTCATTAAATTTGTTTTCCCCAGATACCGGGGTCGTATGCCTCCACCAGTTTAAATCCTTCTCTCTTCCTCTTACTTCCTAAATTAGAGTTTTGGGAGAACCTTATGATATCCCAATGAAGGTGACCTTGCAATGACCTTTCAGTGTTAGATAAAATTGCATTAGTTTATGTTATCCTCTTATATGATTAGAATTCTAGAGTTACAACTGAATACTGTAGCTGTTTTTTGAGTTCCCAATAACCTTAGCTTTGAACTTTGACGGCCAAAATATTATCGGTTCATTGTTACCGGCACAGAGGCACATTCAGTACACACTACCTGATATTTTCATATCATAATATTTTTAGCTTTTGCTGTTGATGGTTCAGCATGAAAAACCAAGTTTGGCTAATGAAGTCCGTACGAATGTGGATAACATTGTAAGCGTCAGTCAGGAAGACAACTGCTTTAGAGTCCCTGCCACTGAACAAACTGGGAAACATTGGCACTCACTCACTAGAGGAGTGCTCAACCAGCCGCATGGCTCCCCGCTGTGGCCATTTACCACTCAGTCCTACCCATCTCACTTCCACTCCCGCTGTGGGACAGTGAACATGTAATCTGGTCGCAGCAGGCCACCAGCCCAGCAGACACACACACACCCACACCCAGCTGCAGCTGCCCTGTGAGGTGCCCAGTTTGCCTTTCAGCCACACAACTTCCTGCCTTTTTTTTTTTTTTTTGCACATATCTTCACTCAACCAGCCACCTCCTTCCCTCCCATACTTTGCAGTACTCTCAGGCAGGTATGCTCCTTCCTTATGGCACTCGTTTCAGACTGGATTAAAGCTAGCTCGCTAACAAGCTGCTGTTTTTGCTGCTGCTGCTGAGTCTGCCTGTTGTGAAAATGAAGCTGTCTTAGGTGGTAGACAGTATTACAAGGTGAATGACAAACGTGACAGAGTCCTCTAATAGTATAACTGCTCAGCATGTGCAGTGCAGTCCGTTTGTGTTTTAGTGTGTACATGCATTCTTTCTACACAAATACATTTGTATATCTGCTTGTGCGTGTGCATCCACAGGACAAGAATGCACGTTTGCTTGAATGTGCATACTGTTTTCTTCATTTTCTGGCGTCTTCTCAGGCTCTCGGCCATGTGGTGTTGTGGTTTGTCTTTCATCACATGGAGAGAGTATATACTGCCTCATCATCTATGCTTGGGTAACTGTGCGTGTTTACCGATACATGTTTGTATGTACTGTATGTGTTATGAATTGCCATACGTGTGGTCCATACGGGTTATTCTTTACCAGCCCATGCGATGCCTGATGGTCATCCATCTTTCAGCCTTATGTCATGGGGCCTCTTGAAGCCTTTGGCACTAGCCACTAACCAGCAGCCACATTGTACTGTCTACATCTCATCATGCCTCCATGCCAGCAGTAGCCATGTGGTGATATAAGTCCCCATGGTCCCGTCCCCATTGTGTTCCATTGGCTCTTTCTGTCACCAAATGGCTGGTAGGTGCTAACCCCAGCTGTCACTGCTGACAGTGAATCATAGATACCAGTCTGTCTCCCTTTATGACCCGTGCTCGTATCAACTACCAGCTACAAACACAGCAGACTGCCCTTTATACACACATGCATACACACACACGTTCTGCCATCAGTTCAGTGAATCACATCAAATTAGCTAAGCATCCTAGTTCAAATGCTTGGGGGGCTTCTCGGGGCATTAAAAACCAATTGATTGTGCTGCAGTTTGGCGACTCCTTCCTCATGTTGCGTGTTAAACCAATGGAGCGTTGTGCAATGGCGCTCTTGATATCTGGGCAATATGGAGGCAGCAGAGCGTGGAAGGGGAAGAGCTGGACAGTCATACAGAATAGAATGGAATAGAATAGTCTATATGCATGTTAAATAAACTTGTTAATTAATCAGACTTGTTAAGTTTGATTTAACAAAATAAGTATTTAAGAATAGGTCTAGAGATTATTATTTAGATAATTACATTACAGATACAGATTAGGGTAAAAT